GTTTGAGAGAAAGACGTCATTACTTGATTGATGTCTGTAGTTTTCAGATAAAGGCGTTCTCCAGCCATTATTACTTGTGTGTGTTGATCTGCCACAACTTCAAAATGTGCACCAACCCTTGTATCAGCTTGTGGTCGTGCACTCTCATCTGTAGTAATGTCTATGTCAGGAGTAGCCATGTTTACTTACTTATTTATTACTTAAATGCATTTACACTTCTTATAGTACTTAAACTGACGTAATTACTTATACACCCAATAATAGATAGGCGGAATAAAATGTTTTTAACTGTGTACAAGTTTAACGTTGAATATTATTTATGATTCTTACTTATACACCTTTCTTTACTTTAACCAGCCTGTTGTTAGTTACTCCAAAAATTCTGTAAGACTGTAAGACATTTGGAGTTTGACTTTACATCCAGTTACAAATAAATTTATATTAAATCCAGGTTATCAATTGCGAGTGGAGTACACAAGTCATTAACACAAAGTTGACAGTTTGAATATAGAATTGGCTTGGGGTCTGAGATTCAAAAATACAAGCAACACTTTAAAGGTATCTTGAAACATTTCACTATTAATTTCTTTAGTCTGAGCAGTTAGATCTCTCAATAATATTCATTAAATGCTTTACTATGACAAACAGATTTATCAATTATAACACCATTTGAAATTAGCCCTCCAGTGGCACAGCGGTATGTCTGCTGGTGGTGAGCAGAGCACTGATAGCATCTTGTGTAGCTTTGTGTTTAGCTTTAAAGAAAAAAACATTTGAAATTTGCTCAGACATACTTTAGTTTGAGTTCTCTTACACATTTACATCAAGTCCCTACTACATTATTCGACTGAGAGAAATAGCAATTGTTACTTACTTTATGGTTGAATAGTGGGTGTTTTGGATCTGCCAGAGGACTGAGGTCTTCATTGTTTCTGAGGTGTTGTAATCAAGCAACATTAGAACAGCATGAATACTGTTTCTACAGCAATGTTGGAGAACTGATTTTGAGCCCAAAAACATGGGTTTTTATACAATTTTCTTTAGTATTCTTACGATTCTCCAAATAATGTACATATCAACTCATAAGTAGATCTGTCACGTAATTGATTGAATTTTGTCAACTCATCGTAATTCTCAGAACTAGAGCCAAAACTACTCCAGTAATTGGTTATTATTGAAGACTAAATTTGCAGTCAGTTTGGTCATATTTCTCCTTATCTCCCTTCTGAAGTTCTGCCCAGTCTTTTGTTTCCCTTCTAATACTTTTTAATTTCTATATTTAAAGTCAATCACTTTTATATTAAAAACTATGAAATAAGATATAAACATTATTATTTCAAAGATATAAATACTTTTTAGATTGGTTATTCAGAATATATTTGTTAAAATTGAAAATTTTAAGTCAGCATTTACTGTTGAGATTCAGCAGTTTCAAAGTAAAATGTACTGCATAGAATCTGTGCTAGAATTTAATAACAGTTAACAAACAAATGTGAACATATATGGATTAGTTTAAATCTGTAGCCACTTGTGTGTCTGTTTGAATACTTGCAAGCTTGACATTCATAATACATTTCTCTAAACAAAATCTACATTATTAGCAAATTGACAAATAATGACTTATGAGCATAATGAAGAAGATAGAACAATGTTCTGTTGAAACATAGAATTTTCACCAAAATAAAAATCACTTCTTTATGGTTATAAGTTGTCATTTGTCAATTTACTATTACATCACTATTACTATTATTATAGCTTCCATACACAGTTAAAACTATCAATTTTTACAGCCTAAAAGATGCACCCATATTTTATCAAAGAATATTTAGGAAAAAACATTAAGTGTATCAAAGCATTTAATGTTTACTCCAAATAACGTAAAACATGAAATCTGCATTTCAAGAAAAACTTACTTCAATGGAAATATCATACATGCAATATATTAAATCAAATTTGCATAACAAGAGTAAGGAGATCTAAGTAATAGATTCTTTTTCAAATGGCAAGTATACTTTCATTGGTGTTTGTTGTGGATATCAGTGTCTCCAGCAAGTAAACTGTACTTGGCCTGAGATGGCAGTAAGGAAAAAGGGTCAAGGTGCCTTTTGCATGTGAGCAGTTCAAAAACTGCTGCACATTACAAATAGGAACTATAGTAGAAAGTAGTGTTCATGAGAATTCAGAAACACTTGCTGCTTTGCACTGAAGAACCAGGTGAACTGCTCAGATATACCGACACTAATTGTATTGGATTATTATTATCTATTATATATCCACTCATATATTTATCAAATTTCTTTCATTAAATCTTTCAGCATGGGCTCAGTCCCTGGGACTGACCTCATAACCATTTTGTGCTTGTTATAGTTTTCATGCTATAAATTTTAAAATAGTAAGCAAATGTTAATGAAATTTGGCAAATTATCAGTAAACATAAAAATGCTTTTGTACACAAAATATCAAATTTTTTATATTAAGTCTTAAGGTTTGTAAAACAGTATTTTTCTCATGTCTTTTTTTTTTCTTTTTTGTATGTTGCCTATCTATCATGCAAAGTAATATTCATTTGAAGATTAAAAATACTGTTATGGATCAGAAAGTTTTCAAATTTCACATGTAAAATCTTTATAATGTCCAGATAGTTATCAAAGATTTCTTAATAAAAACTTTATATTTTATCTGTTATTTTCAGTAATGAATCTATGTATGGGTTCAGTAGATTTGGCCGATCTCGTAACCACCATAAAGAATTAGGAAATAAATATAAATTATGCCTCTTTCATTCTAGAATGAACACAAATTATAACATGAAAACATAAATGTTTAGGCAAAATAGATTAAATCTCATAACATTATACATTTATATATATATATATTTATTATTTTCATTATATTGACCTTTCACCTGTGCTGGGCTAAAAATATAGAAGTTACAATGACGTGGCTCACGTGCACTCATGTTACCGTATCAAATAACATGAAATTTACCTTGGGTCTGTACAAAGTAACTTGTTTCGGCTGTGTTTTAGTCAATTAGTATTTTGTAAAATACAGTCGTATTTCAGTTATTATACATTATATATGTATATAGAATATTGCTATTTTGAAATAAGTTCTTGAAGTTGTTTTTCATAAAACATAGATCAGTAATTAAAGAAGTAAAGCAAACAATTA